TACGCTTAAGACTATCCTTTTTAATAAATCCTATGGTTAGGGTTGGCTTGGGTTTCCTGAGCTATCCCTTAGTTATGCTGCTATATGTTTTGACTGCTGGAGGACAAACTATCCACATTTCCTCACTCTGCTGCCGTCTTCACACTCTCTACTCTCCGTTTATATACATGTAATTATTGCAGTCATTTTTCTGCCTATAGAAACCACTCCTGGACAAATCCTGTTTTGTCTCTTTCCGGTCCTCTGGCCAGTCGGTCGCCCATCCTGAGGGGGTTTGCACCAACATGAAGATTTGACACAGTCTGCTGGTTTCTTACCAACTTTTACTTCAAAACGTATTGCGTGTGAATGTATTGATTATAATAAGAAATAATATATAGAATAAGAATTTGCTTTTGTTTAGTGTCCTGAGATGACTTTTTGTTGTCAAACTGAATTTAACTCAATATTTATAGACGGACTTTATTTATTTATTTTAGAAACCAGGCTTTTAAGCCGTTCTTCATATTGCTGACCTTAGGGGGAAACTGCTGTGTGACCTCTGGCAGATACCGGCCTCCAGCCTTTGACTTCTGCAGCGACACGACCAGGAAGTACTCAAAAAGCTTGCGCTGGTGGAGATCCTTTTTCACAGGTATGTTTCTGGTCTTGGTGCAGTTGTAGCTGACCTTCGCCTTGTTCAGCTGCCGCGGTAAGGAGCGAGCTGCCACAAAAGACAATTCAATTAAAAGGTTGCGTATAAAATAGCTATAACAAAAAAACATGTTAAAATATATGCAGTACCTCTAAATCTCTCTTCTGCTTCGCTCTCAGAGTCACTGTAATCATCTGTTACTGTGAAAGAAAGCCACAAACCCACATTTAAACTTCTGATTTAATAAATATTAAACACAATTTTAAGCCTTAAGATCTCATCAAAGTTTTGACCTCTTCCTGAACTTGTGTCCGCGTAATGATAGCTCCTTCTCAGAAGCTTTTTCCTGGTCCGAGCCTCGAATATGCTGTTGATCCTCAGTACAGCCTGTTGACAAAGTAATCACTCATTGTAAAGAAGTAAAACGCAGGGATTTCTCTTTGTGATGAAACAAAACTAGAGTATTGATGAATATTCTGTATATGGAAACAGACTGTTGGGATCCTGCGGCAGGTGCGGCTGTAGGGATCTCCAGGAAGCCACAGGTTGTGCTCAGGCCCATTAGGGGTGGATGGAGGACTGAGCTGACCCGGAGACGAGACGCCACTTCCTGTGCTTTGGTTGCTTCTCCTTAAGTCCAATAGCTTAAAACTCCTGCCTGAATTCTGCCTGAAGAAACCAGGTCTTGAAGCCTTGCAGCAGAAAAACAACAAATATTTTATGATCATCTAACTCCAGTTGTTGCTCCTTTTATATATAGCGGTGTTTTTTTATGGACCTTGGTGGTATCGGCTCCAGGAGACGATGGTACTGACTGCTGTGAGCACTGACTGTCCAGCTCTATGTCCTCATACGGGTTCTCAAACGAATCTGCAGAGCCCAAAAATCACATGCTTATGCAACACATTCAAATCGTTCATAGATATTTATTATGCATACTAAAATACAGTTAATTTTATCTTAATGGGGGAATAATGCCAGTATCTCACTGGGCTGCGACTGTTTGGCGACTCAAAATGGGGAGAAATGTAGGTAAACTTTCAACTCCTGTCTCACTGAACTGGTGTTTCCAGTTAATGTTATGGTGCAAGTGAAATTTATGACCTGCTTTTGTGTAAAACTGTCTCCTAGGCCACACATTTTGTTCTCTACAATGTACCCACCTCAGTCCGCTTTGTACCCAACTTGGCAGCCACTTCTGCATTTAATCCATTAAACCGTTTTTAATTATTAAAAAAAAATTTTTTAGACCTGGACATTCAAGGTTGATTTGTGTCACATATCCAGGTGTTAAAATACAGCTCCAGGGCCCTACATTTTAAAAATACATAATTGAAAAGGGAGTTGTCCGCAACAAAATTAAGAAAAGTTTAAAATGCTTGTGACAAAATTAGGATAGGTTTGAGATAGGTTTGAGACATGTTTGAAACGCTGCACCAAAATTGAGAAGTGAACGAGATGGGTTTTATACACTTATGACAAAACTGAAAACTGTTTCATTACGGTTAGACGCTCATCTTAAAAGTGAGAAGGGTTTGAGACTAGGGGCAAAACTGAGAAATGTTTGAGATGAATTTGAGACACTTGTGACACAGGTGAGAAGGGTTTAAGGCGCTAGTGACATGTTTAGGACAGGTTTAAGACTCTAGTGACAAAACTGAGATTGGATTGAGATGATTGTTATGACATTTAGAGGAGTCTGAGATGCCTTGAACAAAATGGAAAATGGTTTGAGACCAGTTTGAAAAAGTCATGCCAAAATGACAAGGGTTTGAGATGCTAATGGGAAAAAACAAAAACAAGAAAGGTTTGAGACACTAGTGACAAAAATGAGAAAGGTTTGAGAAGTTTGTGACAAAACTGAGATGAGTTTGAGACTCTAGGGACAAAACTGAAAGTTGCTTGAGACCAGTTTGAGACACTCATGCCATACCTAAGAAGGGTTTGAGATGCTAGTGACAAAACTGAGATGAGTTTGAGACTAGGGACAAAACTGAAAAAAGTTTGAGACCAGTTTGAGACACTTGCCAAACATGAAGGGTTTGAGATGCTAGTAACAAAAGTAAGACTGGTTTAGGATGCTTGTGTCAAAACTGAGATGATTTTGAGACTCTAGGGACAAAACTGAAAAATGTTTGAGACTAGTTTGAGACACTCGTGCCAAACATGAAGGGTTTGAGATGCTAGTAAGAAAAGTAAGATTGGTTTAGGATACTTGTGTCAAAACTGAGATGAGTTTGAGACTCTAGGGACAAAACTGAAAATGGTTTGAGAACAGTTTGAGACACTCGAGACAGACATGAGAAGGGCTTCAGTTGTTAGTGAATAAAGTGAAAAGGGTATGAGATGTCTGTAAAAACCTTTTTGAGAACATGTGTTGCGCTGATTTTTAATTTTTAATTTTTTTCGTTTTTGTTGTTTTTATAGATGTTCACAATTCAAGTCTCAATACTGTGAGCCTGCGACTCACGCAAGGAAATGGAATAACTCTGTCAAATCTGAGACATTGGAGACTCCCTTGCAAAAGCTGTTCTCCAACTAGTTGCTAACACATATCCTAGTTAAAAATTGCTTATGGCTTGTATCCCATTGTGTTGCAACAGTTAGCAACTAGACGCAAAGTTATGCGAAAATAATTTTCTAAAATTGGTACGTGCGACACGTTTCTATATGTATGCAACTGCGAATGAATTGTGATATTACCACAACATTCCTGCAATTTGAGGAGAACATTTTTGGTTGCAATTGAGTCTCAAAAGTGTCTTAAGTACAGAATGTCTCAATTTGATTTAAATGTATTCCCTTTTTTTTATGTCCGGTTACAATTTAGTTTCATAAGTCTCCAAACACTCCCAAAGTTGTCTTTAATTTCTTGCATAACAGGTAAAACATTAATTGTCCATGACCTTTCTACAAAGCTTTGCTTCAAATGATCTGAACATACGGCTTAAAAAACGTCAGTAAAAGACTATGAAGGTGGCTGACCCAGTATGTCTTCATAATGATGTTCCTGGGACAGTGAACGGGTGAAGACGGGGCTGGTTGACCCCCCATGGTCTTCAAAGTCAAACAATCTTCTGTTAAAGTTAGCAGAAACATGTAATTGTTATCTTTAAATGTAATTTGAAAAAATAAAATTAGTAAAATATGATAAAGTGTGGCTTCTTCTGAGCGTTGGACAACATTTGTCTCTGTACCTGCTCTCTAGGAGTCTGTCGGTTCTGGGCATCCCGTAGAAACCGGAGGGGGGTTTTGAGGATGTTTTTGAGGAGGTGGATGGCAGGGGCGGGAGATTTCTTTGCCCTCTACTCTCCCCATTCCGACTTATTCCCATGGGATGCTGGAAGGTTCGTCTGGGTTTTGGGACTGGATTAATTGGGAGCGTGCCTGGTTCTGTGTATACATTTTCCTGATGCTCCTTTCCTCCTTGTGCCCCAGAGGTTCTAGTCAGGCTTTCAGAGTCTTTTCTCTTTGTCTCCGAGTTTTTGTCCTTGCTCGGAGGGCAGAAGTAGTTTCCAAGCTCCGGAGGGGCTTTGCTGTGGTTCTCACCCAAAGTCTCCAGCTTCTTAAAAAGCGTAAACACAGCTCTCTTTTCAACGCTCGTTTGTTCTGCCGCTCTTTTGTTTGTGATTTTTAACCCAACTTGTTGCTTCTCAGCTGCTGAAGGAGAACAAGGCCTCAAATCATCCGTAGACTTTTCCTTGGAACCTAGATTTTTCTCATTCACTGCACATTTCCCAGGTTCTGCAGGTGAACATGGCCTCAAACTTCCAGGTTTCCCCAAATTCTCTTTCCCAAGATCCTGTTTCTCAGTACAGGCTTCCCTACAGCCGTCAGCACTCGGCTTTTCTGTTGTTTTGTTGTTGCTTTCGGTCAAGGATTCAATCCTTTTAGCACTGCTACTCTGGCTCAAACTACTGGATGTGACAAGTGAATGTGTGGATTCTTTGTTCTCCCACAGAGAAATCTTGTCCTTAATGTTGCCTCCGTTAGATGTGGACAGCTTGGCTCCAACCATCGGCGAACTGTCGGTCCCGTTTGGGTCGCAGACTTGTCTTCTGAAAGCCATCCTGGATGATTCCTCCCTTTGGTTGAGCAGGTTGTCCAAAGGAATGAAAGGCTGTTTTGATGCCTTGTTTGGTGTTTGAACAGCTTGGGGTTTTTTCATAGGTGAACTTTTCCTGCTTGGTTTTAGCCTAAATGGAGAAAAAAAAAACACTTTTACATTTTTTAACTCCTGTTGATTTATCAAAGAGGTAGTTGAGATCTTTTAAAGTAGGCTTTATGTTGTGAAGAATGAACCGTTTAGAGAAATTATTGTTTTGGGAACCCTGACATTGTATTTTTATTCAAAGTGTGTTTTACAGTGGAAAAAAATCTTGAAACACCACCCTTGTGTTTTCACATAGAGGGTCAGAATACAACCTTTGAAAACAATGACATCATTACCCCATCTCTAACCTAAACTATGACCTTTATGTGCATGCTCCACCTTGTTTCCTGCTTTTGGTGTATTTTTGTGGCATCGTTACAGCGCCACATACAGGCCTGGCATAGTTACTACAGCGTTTTGTGTCGCTTTCATTGTTTCCATGTGGATTAAAACATTTCTTAAAACAGTGCAACATTTATGAGCATATTTTGAAAAGACGAAAGATGGTTTTGCAAAACACTGTTACTGTGTGAGCAAGGCTTAGCTAAAGCTAGTTCACTGCGCTACAATTGTTAGCCCCAAATTGCTAATGGTGTTTGTGAGGGAGTCGACAAAATATTTTGAGAAGGTTCTCAACTTTCTCACGAAAATCTCTGGATGCTGCTCTCATGTTGCTTGAATTTTTAATGTGTTCAAGTTTTGCTGTGAAGGCCAGTTGATGTTGTGAGCGTCTGGAATTCATTTTGAACCATTTGCAATTTAGTTTCTGCAATTCTAGAAGTTCTTTGAACTTCCAGGAAATTCATTTTTCAACTAAAACTTAGCTTTTTTCGTTAGCAGTTTTGTGTCTCCAACTAGTCCCCAACAGAGGTACAACCTTAAAGGTTGTTCTGAGTGGAGCCAACACTAAAATAGATTAACACTTTTTATTAACTTTTACACTGCTATAAATCTTGCACGACAGTTATTTGCATATAATTCTTTGGTGTTTTTCTACAGTTTATGGCAGCACCAGCTAGCTGTAGCACTTATGTAGTTTTAAGTTACGGAAGAGATGTTATGATTAGGCCTGTCACAATAACAAATTTTATTGGGTGATTAATTGCCTCAGAAATTATTGCGATAAACGATAATATTGTTTGAAATTTAACAATAATTAATTGTCAAATCTTAGAAGAATTTTGATTTGTTTTGCATGTGGTGCCTTTTTTGACCACCTGATGGCAGTATAAGACAGTTTGAACCAAAGGATGGATAGATGAGCAGCATGTCTCTTTAAGAAAAATGGGAGGGAGGCCCTTTGACGTGACATGGGCTGATATGGTGACATGGCAGACGCTCGGTGATTTGAGCTCTTTAGCATAGCATTTTCCACACAAAGCTTTTAATTTAAAAAATCAGTAAACAATTTCTCAGCTTCTTTTTGCAGAGAAAAACATTTTACGCAAAGGCACGGGTTTCAACCGTGAATTTTGGAGCTTCGACAAGACGGTTTATTCTCGAGGTCGGCCCGTTAGCTTATCTCGTAGCTTAGCTTCTCAGCTTAGCTACTTTTAACGATTGAAAAACACGATTTTGGACGGTTAAAACTGATTTTACAGATAAAGGGAGGGGTCAGTGAAGAGCACCAGAGTCGAGCCTTTTGTCATCCAGTGTCTTTAGAAAGAGACACGAAGAAACGATAAAGCCGGTAAATGAAAATGAGGTTGATAATTTTCATTCATCAACTGATTGATTGTTTATCGCGACAGGCCTAGTTATGATATTCCTGGATTGTTCCGTTACAGTAAAAAAAAGCATGTATTTACATTTTTATTTGAGGGGAAACTGATTGTAAAAGCATGTCGCAAATGTTCCAGTAAAAAAAAATCCAACTGGAAATGTACAAAACATGTTTTCCGTTTCTGTTTTTAGAGGTGAAAATGCTTTTTTTTTTTTTTTTTTTACCTTTATTGTTAATTTTTTTCTTCAAAATTTGCATGACAAATGTGCAAAACGTGTTTTAAATGTATCCGTTTCTGTTGTGAAGTTTTTGAAATTGGAGTTGTTTAAAGATGACAACAATTCACTTTAGTCTCGATACAATAATAGACTAACTGTTAGCTCGTCAGTCCTGTCTCAATTAAACTCTTTTTTTGATCAAAAATCTATCTACAACTGGTAACATAATAATAGTTCAGAAATGCTCCACAAAACCCCACTTCAAAAGATTTTATGTCTTTTTATCTAATTTGTATCAGAAAGTACACACGTCTTGCTAAAATGTTAACGAGCTAACCGCCACCAGAGTTTTTCCTGAACTTCCCACTTGGTCACTGGGACTTCCAGTTAGGGGACACTCAGTCTTTTTCTGGTGACAGTGGGAAAACGCAGCCCGAGAGAAAATGCTGGAGGACATGCTCATGACTGAGCATCTTCTTGTCATCAGTTCGGCTAAATAAACACACAGTTGGACTGAGGCCCGATTCATGAGACTGTTGTTAATAAAATAAATGAGAGGAAATGGGAAGCTGTAAGTTGAAAGACCTCTCATGGATGTGATAACTAAAGGGCAGCTGTAATTCACAGACTCCTGTTTCATTTTCTAAAGAATCTGCTGATATTGAAACGTTTCCTTTAAAAATGCATATAACCCACACTCATGCATGTCAAAGTTTAAAAGAAAACTCTTGCACGGTCAATTAGCACTTGGAGTATGTGCTAGAGATGACCATAATCTACCAACACACCAAATTTTAGCTCAAAATCTCTAAAACTGACCGAGTTATAGCCATTTTTCTTGGCTAAACTCCATAAAATGTGGCGGCCATCTTGAATCGAGTTGATTTAAAAACGCTTGTAAAATATCTCATGAACCATTGGATGTCTTTTAATAAAACTCAAAGTAATCACCTTCAGCTGATTAACTCTTGGAGTCAACTCAAATCAAGATGGCCGTGATGATAAACAAAAACAGCAAAGGTCAGAAAACTTTGCAGGTGTTGAGCTGAAATATGTTGTGGTAGTAGCTGAGAGTCATGTCCAGCACATACTTTTAGTGCTAATGGGTGGTGTGGGCGATGTGAATTTATTCAGGAAATGCTCCTTCTGTATTGTTTTGGAGTTGGGTAAAAACCAGTTTTTGGCACCTCTGGGCCTCCGTACAAACCTGTTAATGGTGAAACGGATATTCTCAGCGACCTCCATGGTTCCTGCACACCTGCAGAGACAGAAAAGCACCAGAGTTTTAATCTTTAACACGTTAGCTTTTATTTTTCATACATTCTCATGTTTTTAAATACAATTTTAGATTGTGATTCTTTTCTGTTGGTGAAAAACGTCTTTCTGAGGACAGCTGGAAAATACGACGACTCCCTCAAGCAGTTTAACTCTACGGTCTTCCTCCATGATCAAACTGCCCTCCTCCTCCTCCTCTTTTCTTTTCTGTAGTTCTTCTGCCACTTTGTGCTCACAGTGGAGCTCAAGCTGGAGCTGACCCGTGGAGCATGCTCCACATACTTTCACATGTCTCCAAGTCCAACGTCTCAAAGTTCACCGTCCTCTAAGACAGCGCCTGGTAATTTCCCAGATCTGTGGCTGCTGTCATCATTTGTTTCACTGACATGTGGTCCGTGATCCAAACGGCAGTTTGCAGGAGCACAGGGTCCACATTCAGCCCTTAAAGTGACAGTTCGGTTATTTTTAAGTGAGAGTCGGTGGAAAGACTATACACATTTTACCACGAGAGTTCAGTGTGAACGCCGAGTGATGAATGACAACTCTAAATCTGAGTTCAAATTAAAACAAGAGTAGCGGCTAAAGTTTTCAAAAGAGGCTAAAATAAACGCAAGTCTGGAAAAACATTAGCCGAAATTCCTTAAATAATAAATAAAAGGTAAAAGTAGCTAAATATAAATATGTTACTCTTTTTGCCATCTTATTTGTAAAAAATATATTTGTATTCCTTTTTATAACTGTCTATTGTTGTTGCTGTTGTCCATTGTTGTCATCATTCTTTGTTGAAATCAGGTCTCTCTTGTAAATGAGTCCTCGAGGCTCAATGGGATTTACCTGTATAAATAAAGGTTGAATGAAAAATGCAAGCTAAAAGCAGCAAAACAAGACCTAAAAGTTTAAAGCCGCAGAACAGCAGCGAATTATAATTAGTGAAACTGTAGCTGAAGTTAACGAGACTGTAGCCAAAGTTAACGAGACATAGCTGACGTTAATGAGCCTGTAGCCGAAGTTAATGGGGCTAGAGCTGAAGTTAACGAGACTGTAGCTGAAGTCTGTAGCTGAAGTTAACGAGACCGTAGCTGAAGTTAACGAGACCGTAGCTAACGTTAACGAGACCATAGCAGAAGTTAAACGAGACTGTAGCTGAAGTCTGTAGCTGAAGTTAACAGGACCGTAACTGAAATTAACGAGACCGCAGCTAAAGTTAATGAGGCTGTAGCTGAAGTTAACGAGAGTGTAGCTGAAGTTAACGAGACCGTAGCTGAAATTAACTAAACCTTAGCCAAAGTTAATGAGGCTGTAGCTGAAGTTGACGAGAGTGTAGCTGAAGTTAACGAGACCGTAGCTGAAATTAACGAGACTGTAGCTAAAGTTAATTAGGCTGTAGCTGAAGTTAACGAGAGTGTAGCTGAAGTTAACGAGACCGTAGC